ACTACCGCTCTTCCTATTCTATACCTTGTAAGATTACCATATATGCTAATATCACCTAAAACTTTACAATTTAGGGTCGTATGAAGTAAGATCCAATTCTATCTTAAAATGGAAAAATTATATAATACGACTCTACACGTTGACTACCAAAAAAAATATAGATGGACATGCTCGTGTCATATCTTTCTGGACCAGAAATTTTTTCAGTGCAAATCGTTATGCATTACTCTCGAAGAAAATACAAACGATGACGTATTTATGATGTATACTAATAGAAAGATATGTTGGTAGAATGGTTAGCATTATATAAAAAGTTGCCAACTGCAAAAATAATTGCACAACCTATACAATAATGGATCGATGTTTTGATTACTTTATGCTAAACCAAAGAATTCAAATACTATAAGAAAAATGGATATTTGAGACTAAAGGAGCTCAAAGAATGATGTATTCTGAGTCTCGAAAAAAACCTTGAATAAAGTACTGTATCAAGGCAAGTATAATTTCAATATGAGGAGGTAAGAGGAGATGAAGAGAAAGATACCATTATTTGTAACGAAGAAGAAAATAGTTGCAAATACCTATTGTTCGATTTTCCCCCTCTTCCCTTACAGAGTGATAGGCAAAATCAAGAGGATGAGATCCAACAATATTGCTCTTAAGACCCTAAAGCCCAAAGTGAAACGCATCATTCCTCTCTCGATTTAGTGTTAATAATCTTTGAGTTTGGTGACCAACATATTTATAGCGTCGACATTTTGAATTCGCCACAATTCCCACAAGTAGGTTAAAAGATGATACAAATCAAGTGAACATTCAGAAAGCAAATAATAATAATAATAATAATAATAATAATAATAATAATAATAATAATAATAATAATAATAATAATAATAATAATAATAACTGAACTATAATATGATGAGAATGCCATGAAAGTTCACATGCAGCTCTAACAGAATGCTATATCAACAGGGTCAAATGACTTTGTTCTCCTTGAAAAAGAAACAGAGATTTTAAGCATAAGTTTTTGTAAGCAATTTAATATAAAACTAATAGTAAAAAAGCATGTTTGTATAAATTCACTTTATCAAATATAGTTCCGGATGCTTGAGCTCAAAGATACTAAAATCAAACCTACAAAAGTCTTCAATTAAAAAGCGCTAGTAATTTGTCAAAGTATCATTAACGAAAAACGGGCAAAGGCAATTACCTCTAGNAAGAAGCAGATCATGAACGTCGAAGTCCATTTCTCTATTATTATTTTTTTTGTTTTTACTCTATATCAAAGAAGAACCAAATTTGAAATATCAGAGATTAGCTCGGCCTAATTGCTGATTAGATTTTGTCATATTACAAAGAGAGAGAGAGAGAGAGAGAGAGAGAGAGAGAGAGAGAGAGAGAGAGAGAGAGAGAGAAAAGCTAGACGTATCAAAGAAATGAATTATTACTTGCAATAATCATAGTGATTGCACTGCGAGTCGAAATACAATTTTAAAGCTTTGATTGTTCTTAAAGATCAGTTTTAAGATATACATTCACGAGAAGAAATCTCTTTAAAACATGTTTTACACTATGTTTATTCAAATATCATTCGGTGTACGAGTGAGGCATATCATCAAACATTTTGGATGCATAGTCCACTTCAATGATTATCATTAAGACTACTCAATAAACACATGATTAAAAGAAAGAGGGAGATAAAGTAGACAACTTAACTGGAAAAAGTAGGTGCATCTTCGTTCATCTTTTGCTTTCTCTTCAAGAGAGAAGAGATTGTTACACAAGCAGTTGGCGGATCATCCATCCTCATCTTCCTTGATCGTCTATTCCTTTTTGGAACCCGATCTATAGAAAAAGTTGTTCTTACAGGAACACATAACAATAGAGCTAAACTTAAGAGACCTAATCTTACAACAGTAATTTTGATACCTTGCAATCAGGTACAATCACTCAAGAAATTATTCAAACAATCGCAAACTAACACCCAAGAAATTACCAACAGAAAAGTTCAAGTTTTGTATATCATCAAACATCTTGGTGCATAGTCCACTTCAATGGGAATTTCGAAATTACCAATAGAGAAGTTCAAGTTTGACATGTAAGCAGACTACTTTGAGAATTTAGAGAGGAATCGAAGTGCTCCACAAATAGGAAATTCCATTATGCTTTGAAATCCTACGTTGAGCTTCCCAGAGATTCTCCCTTAATCTTGGTACAATTTCTTTTCACCGGCTTGGTACAGTTTCTTTTCACCACTTTTGCTATATCTCCGCCATAATTGCACAAGAAATGCTATATCTATATACTATTAATTAAATAAAATATTAATTATTTTAAATAAAATGTGCTCTATGAAGATCAATAATTAAAAACTATTGTTCAGTTTTATTATTGCATAAATAGAACAACCACTTGCCTAAAAACGTGGTTTTTATTTTGCAAGCGGTTAGGACACTACTACTTACAAATTGTTACTTTTTCTTCCTATTCTACTACAGTTACTTAAAAAAAGTTATTTAATTGTTTTAATTTTAATTCTAATAAAATATACCTAATAACTAATTATTACTCCTAATAACTACTTCTTGTCCTAAAAATTAACACGTGTCATTTTCTTATGCCGCCATTTGTCACAATCCTATACTAAACTTTCTTCCTTTTAATAATAGATAGATATAGATTCAGAATGTCATATCACAAATTGACTAATTTTACATCACCAGTAGGAAATACTAACGTTATGATTGAAAAATAAAAATTTAAAAGAAACTGGTGAATCGTTAACATGTCTGAATTTTTTTTATAGACTTCAGATATTAACTTTTCATAGGTGTGGGAAACTCGTTAAATTGTTCTTTCTAATGAAATAAAACAGTGACTTCAGATTTTGAATGGAAACTTCTCATATTGACACATAAACTTTTCTAAACTTGTACGATGAAACAATGGCATCCGCTTGACATTCACTTTTATTTTGATTAATAGAGCACTATATAACAGAGTCTATAAATGAATATGAATGATTACTTATTATTTATTATGCATTTCACAGTCAGTAGGTTTAAGATGATACATGATTTTAAGTAATAGAACCCGTATAATTTAGCTAAACCAACAAAAAAAGCTTACATAAATATACATAATCTGTACGGTACCATCATTAAGTCCTATGAATTTTGCAAAATTACTCTGGAAAAAAACTCTGTCCGGCCCCTTCAATATTAATATTTTTCTTGGGGAAGTTACGCCATATACCTATCTACATGGCTTCTTTACACCATATATCCTAAAGTTAAAAATCCTTAAAATAATTACTTCATATACCTTCTTTATCCAACAATCACGATTATATTGGATAATATCCCTTAAATATAGCCATAACTAGAGGTAATGAATTGAATATTGCTATTTACCTCTCTCCTATCAAAGCCAATTACTCAAGTTTATCATATTCCTAGAAAATACGTTACCTTTTACAATACAAACTCTTAAAAGTAAGAAAATTAAATATGCATTCCATAATAAATAGCAGTATTTAATTTAAACCAAAGATATTATTTAGTTTATATATTCAATATACATTTACAATAATATTCTTCAAATAAATAGGCATATCCATTTTTTTATATTGATGCCATTTACTTTATATATTATTTAATTTAAAACTTAGAGTATTCACTACATCTATGATAATATTCAATAACTACACAGATATTCAAATTATATTATATTATTATTTCACTCACATATTTAACTTAATTTTTGATTTACAACTCAAAAGTTTTCTAATGTGTATCGTATTATTCAAAATATAATACTAGAATATTCTACTGAAGTATCTAATCAAAATCTAATATTATATTACATCAACATTACTAGAATATACTATTAAAGAGAAGTAGTATTCCAAATAATTTCTAACAATATACCAACATTTAATCATAAAATAGAATAAACTATTAATGTGATACTATTAAAGTGTGTTGGTTTGAATATTTTATTCTAATATTTTATTTTGGTTTGAATATTATATTTCAAATTAGAATATTGCGATATGTTTGATTTGAATATTGTATACCAATTTAAAATATTGTGGTATGCTTGATTCGAATATCCTATTCTTTATTAGAATATTGTGGGATGCTTGATTTGAATATTGTACTCCTATTTAAAATATTGTGGTATGCTTGATTTCTAACAATACTGAAAGCTTCTTTTCGCCATTGTTGTCACCAACATTTCGTCTTTTTAGACCCGAAACCCTATTTTTTACCATACCGTATTTTTTCCTACTAACTTTTATGCCATCATCCTTTTTTGATGCTCGAATTGAGATCGTAATTTCGCAATCTAGCATTATCATCTCTTTTGGAAGCCGATTCATAGATTGCATGTGGAGTTTCATCCAATAATTTCACTTCTCCCGATTGAATTTCAACGGGAGAAGAAACCTTATTGCCCTTTCCAAGTACTTTTTCAGTGCTATGGAAAGCTAATTTTCTCTTCATCCTTTCCTTAACTTTTTGCTTGCTATTTGCTTGAGAGGAAAAACTTGAAAGAAGTGATTGTATGATCGAACCAGTAAGAAAGATTAGATGGGCACACGATACTTACTACAATTTCGAGAAAGATATAATATTATTCCAATTAAGTGTTGATTGAAGATATCCTAAAAGAATCTGGGAGAGATAATCTAATCCCTTAAAAGGTGAGATATGTTTAATGGCATATAATGATAGTAAAGATTTAAGAAGTAAATAAAGTTTTATAAAGTAGGTATAGAATGTAAAATAAATACTTTAAAAGTATATGGAGTTAACTGTCGTTTTTAATAGGTAAATCACGTTAGATTATCCAATATATATATTGTTTCTCCTTCCTTCTTTCAGGTCATGAGACTTAGGACTTGTGATTGGCATCGGAAAGCAAATGAAAACACAAGCAATGACCTATAGTTTCCTAATAACTTGCATTGTATATCATTCCATATATAGATCTAGAGAACAGACTTGAATTGCCATAACTCACCAACGAACATATATAGTAGTAGTAGAAGTCCACACAATATATATAGTTCAGCTACTCCTCTCTAAGAAGATGTACTCCATAACAACTTTTCTTATATGAACTCCTTTAGCTATTCAAAATATGAGCCAAAATGGTCTCGCTAATTAGTTACATCTTTTATTAACACAGTACTCCGATCCTATGCAGTAAATATCTGAAACATGCATATATCTATGTATAATAAACTTAGCATTCGACACAGCCTCTCCCAAGTTGTGGTCTTGGTGTGTGGCGATTATTCGCCCCAGAACCTGGATAATCATTGATCTCTGCCTCTGCCTCTAGTACTCTTCTTATTCTTTCTTCTACTTCCAATCTCTTCTCCATATTTGCCTAACAATTTTAAAATTAAAAAAAATAAGTTTCCATCAGACTGATTCCAAATGCAAAAGGAAAATATAAGAGCTTTAATTTCTATAGGCAAAAGATGGAGATTTAAGTACCATATGGGTATTCTCCAACACATTATGTTCTTGAGATATGTCCACTAGCAGACTTCTACTCCCTGTAAATAAAAATCATGGTTCATAAATATATAATCATTGATCAATAAAATAAAGAAGTTAAGCTAATTGAGATTGTTGAAAGATTAACTTACTTGTGATTGGGATGGCATGAGAAAAGCAAAGAAAAGCCAAAAATAAACGAAAGAAAGGGCCAGCCATGGCTACAAGAACTTATAATCTTATTAATCTTACTATATATGTTCCACAGTTCTAATAATTCCTAGGTTTTGCTGCAAACAGAGCTGCTTAGGGCTCCATTTATACATGCTTATTACGGACATATGGGCACAAACAAAATATGGCAAAAAAGGCAGTTTGTAATTTTCTTTTTGTTGCGGCATTAATCAATTTCATACAAAGTCAAAAAGGTATCAAGAAACTGAATTTCATGGAAGACATGCAACACTATTTAATTAGTAAGTAGTACATATTTACACCCAAAAAAAAAAGTAGTACATATAACGCGGTTTACATAATATCTTTTCCAAATCTTTCCTCCCAATTTCCTTTTTGCATGTGAACCGTTGAGATGAATCTTAAAAAGCCAAAAAACGAGGGCATTTGCCTTTTGGGGTTTAAGTGGAAACTATGATGAGGAAATTTATTAAGTCAAAATGGGGAACAAAATATGAATTAGTGGAAGGTGACAAAATAGTGATGCGTCTCAATAACACTACTTGCGTACTAATTCTTAGTGATGCCTTAGTGGAACGTATAATGAATGGTTTCTGTTGGGCGTATGTGAACAAAATTCCACGTGAAATGAAAGCTAGAAAGGAGAAAGAAGTTTCTTATAGGGAGTTGGATACTTTTAATGGTGTAAGATTGTTTAAGAAACCTTGTGAGATATATTCAAAGCAGACAATATCACACCATGTTAAGAGTATTTTTTAGGCCGTTTTAGTCCATCAGTTTCGTGGATATATTGAATAAGGTTTTTTTATATATATAGAATCGAATGAAAAGATTCTCACTATCAGCAAAATATTAAACTAGCCAGTGCTTATGAATCCCATGCGTCGCGCAAGAACATTATCTAACGACAGTTCGAACTTTCCAGACCTTAATTTTTTATTCATTCTTTGTTTAAAGTATTTGTTACTAGCCAGATGTTAGGCTTATAAATTTATCCAAATATGTAATTTGATGGGTTGTCACTTTCACATCAAGTAGATGAATATTTATGTTCTGGTAAGAGTCCACTATTCCTGTTAATGCACCAAAACTTTCATTTCATTCTCAATCAGTTGCCATCATTTTACTTTTAGAGACATTACTCCTTCATGGTTTACAAGCATATTCGAGCCAGTTTACTTTTAACGCACAAACACTGAGCTTTTGGTAAACAAAATCATAGCCTAGTTAATTAACCCTTTACGTCTTTTCATATATTTGAGGGGCCAAAATCCTTTCTATCAAGGTGGGGTTTGTCTGAAATTCTGAACTTTTTGAGATTGCAAATACAAAATTTAACTCATCTGGGACTAACAACCCTTTAATTTGGGCTGTGTAATAGCCTGTTTGGCCAAGCTTCTAAAATCAGCTTATTTTGAGAAGTGCTTTTCTCAAAAATACTTTTTAAAAGAGTGCTTTTGGTGAGAACCAGTTTGTGTTTGGCTAATGGATTTGAAAAGCACTTTTGAGCAGTAATTAGTGTTTGGCCAAGCTTTTGAAAACTGCTTCTAAGTGTATTTTTCTCAAAAGTGCTTCTCAGAAAAGTGCTTTTGGAGATAAGCTACTTTTTTCTGCTTCTCAAAAACTGCTTCTGCTTCTCCTCAAAAGCACTTTTTTCCATCTAAAAGTTTGGCCAAACACCTCAAATTTTGGCCAAAAGTGCTTTTGGCCAAAAAAAGCACTTTTGGACCCAAAAAAAGCTTGGCCAAATAGGCTATAATTCTATACCTGTTAAGGCTGAACTCGGCTGAGCCAGCCCCTTTTAAAAGCTCTAAAATTATAGTTGTATTGGTCAAAATTTGGACGACCTCGGCCACTGACGAGGGACGGGACCTCTCACGACACGGCATCCTTTGGTCGTTGAGGAAGGCAATGACTGGTAGCGGCCGGAGAACGTACGACATTGGTAGTAGTGTAGATGCAGCACGAGCCCGTCAGAATATACTTTGGAATATTCTTTTTTGTCATATCTTTTAGGGTTTAGGAGGGGATTGTCCCTTATAAATAGAAGGGGAATGCTCTGTAACGGGGGATCTTTTTTCTTTCTTTCTCTTGAACATTTGATTGAAAAACAAGAATAGTCCTTACAATACCTTCCTACATTCAAAGTTATCATATCGATGCTTACTCGTTCAATTTCGTGGTATTAAGAAACATTATCCACTGTGTTCATCCTCAATATCTTTCAATCTAGATTTCATTATTCTTAGCTGAGATTTACCTCTTCACCATCTCTAATTGATTTAACCAAAAAGATCTCGATAACTTTTGGTCAAACAATTTGGCGCTGTCTGTTTGGATTTCTTTAGCTAAGATTTAGTTTCATCTAGATCCTTGAAAGGGATAATCACCTCTTCTCTGCCTTGCAAGAACCGACAATGGCAGGAAAGGGAGACGCAAGATTAAAGGCAATAGTAGGTGTCACGAACAACCTTCTGGATTCCATCAACGAAGCCGGTAGGGAAGATAACGAAAACGCAACACCAAGCGCTACACCTGAGGGAGATACCTCACACCCCCCCCCCTGTTGATACCCAATTTTTCCCTGTATATTCTATATATGCAAAATACTTTCAAAATAGCATACATATGCATATATAAGTATGCCCAAATGTTTTATGTATTTTTCCTAATTTTTAAAGGATTTTTTAAATCAATTTATTATCCTAATTTTGACAGTACAAAAACCAAAAATTGTTCCTCAAATTATTATTTTGGTGAATAAATTATTTTATTCTCACATTTATACCAAAATATATCTAAGATAATTTTTGCGCATTTTTACAAATTTATTTAGTAATTTTAAAGCTAAAATTGCATACAATTGCAATTTTAGCCTATTTTGAGATTTAATAGAATTTTATAATTATGAAACTGGTTCCAGTATTTTTATTTTAATATTTATATATTATTAATTAATTTAGTACCTTTAATTTATTTCCAGAAATTATCTTACTATTTTTTATAAAATAAAAAGGAAAAAACTGGCTATTTAAATACTAGCCCTGTTTCATTTCAATTATAGCCCAAATCAACCCCCAATTAAAACCCAATTTCAATCTTAAACGGGCTAACCCAATTTCGATTTAACCCACCCCTGACCCAACTAAACCCTACCCGACCCAGATCCCCTCTTATCCTGGCCGTTGATCTCTGAGATCAACGGCCCCTATTCATTCTTGCCTTTTTTAATCCAAACGACTACCCTAGTCCCCTCATTCCTCATCTATCAGCCGCCTCTAAACACCCCACTCTCTCAAACTCTCTCGAATGTTCTCAAAACCATAATCGTCTCCTACCATCTCCAACCTCGAAACCACCGGAATCCATGGCTTCTCAAGCCATGGGAGGCTTAAACTCACCTCCCTTTGCTCTTATACGCTTGGTACTCGAAGGTTCGAGGTCTGACCTCAAATGTGTTCATTCAGATCTCCACCGATCCAAGGTTCTACGGCCATCTCCAGCTTTGCTCCGGCGTATCCTGGTCTTCTGAGCCTGATTCTGATCTTCTCCGACTCAGATCGGACCTTTTCAAAGCCTTTCTCATTTTAAGGTTCTTCTGAAACCCTAACTATTCGAGGTTTTCTCTGATTTTTCTTAGATCTGTTGTGTATCCATGCTCTATTTGATTTTTCAAACGGTTTCCCCAACTTTCTTTCAAAAATTACTTTCAAAATCGGTTCTTTTTCGATTTAGGGTTTTCTGAAATGCTTAAAATGTTTCTCCGACTTTTCTTTTCCCTTTCTTTGTGTGTATTTGTCTCTACTGTGCTCATATGTTTCCTTTCTACCACACATGTTCTTCTGTGCTTTTTAATATTTCGTTTTCTTACTGTGTCTCTATACCCTGCTGTCACATGTTTATCTCACTGTGTTTCCTATATCATGTTCTCGCATGCTTTTCTACTGTGTTCTTGTGCTTTTTCTTTTACCATGTTCTTGTATGGTCTTTTACTGAGTTTTATACTCCGTTCTTGAATGTTCTTTACTGTGTTCTATATGCTCCATGCTTGTGTTTCTTCTACCACGTTTTCCATATTATGTTCTCATGTGCTTTCTACTATGTTCTGGTATTTCTTCTACTATGTCCTGCTATACTATACCTTTCTACTGTGCTCTTTGATATTTTCCTTCTATTGATCCTTGTTTAGGTTTCTTCTGAGAAAAAACTTTCTTAAGCATGTTTCTTCTACTCTTTCTACTCTGTTTGCATGTGTTCTCATGAGTTTCTGAAAGAAACCCCTGAGCCTGTTTTGACTACTTGCTTCCTCGTCTCTGTATTTGATTCAAGGTGGAAACCCTAGAATTTGGGGGTTCTGCCGAGGTTTGGTCATGTGATTGAACTAGGGTTCTATTTTAGAACCCTTGACTCTCTCAGACTAACTTTTGAGTTTTTGAACTGAGTCTGAACTTCTTTGCTTACTTACAACTCTGAACTTTTAAATCTCTTCTACACTAGACTCTTCTACTGATTGGCATGACAGTTCTTTCATGTTTAGACGTGTCTGTATGCTTTATATGTGTGATAAATCTTTCTTCAAAGAGGTTTTCAAACTAGTGATTGACTCAGAATTCCTTTTTAATAGGTCTAATTGATTCTGTGCTGCTGCTCAGTTGAAGAAGGCGGTACATGACACCTCGCCATTCGCGAAGGGACAAGAGTAGAGGTTTCAATTTAGCAATTTGAGAAACAAGACCGCACGACGGGAAAGAACAAGTGTGATGTTTTCCTAAACTCCAATAGCCTCTGGGGGATAAATACAGACGTCTCCGTACCGATCCCTCAGACTCTACTAGGCTTGTCCGTGTTGTAACCTAGAGCTCTGATACCGAACTTGTCCACGGCCCGGATTTCCACCCTCGGGGGTTGTGATGGCGCTACTCGAAGAAGCTAGGCAAGCCACAAATCATAAACTCCCTTATTCCTTTATTTTTAAATCCTTTTTATCAATTCATAAAAACAAGCGATAAATATTTAAAATAAAGCGGAATATGACATTAAAGCGGAAGACTTAAAATTATTATAAGCTGAACAAAATGCGGAAAATCAACATGTGACTTCTACCCAAGAACTGATGTACAACATCCACGGACTACTAAGAGTACTAAATATCAATCGTTTGAAAGAAATATAACACTGTTTTGTCTCGAAAACATGAG